TTAAGTAAGAAGTGAGGAAATATGACTTCCGTTAGAAATTGTTAATGAGTGGTGTAAATGATAATAAAAATTAGCTTAATGTCATATTTGCTCTTAAAGGGTTACCTTAGTGGTCTAATTGCTCCTAAAATTAGTTTAGTGTCTTATTTGCTCTTAGAAGTTTACCGTAATGGTCTAATTGCTCCTTTTCCCGAGAATTTTAACAAACATATCATATTCATGTCAAAGCTAAAAAATAACTAAGTAAAACTTAACATATTTTATCAAAAGCTTGAAGGAAAAAAAATCAACCTTAAGCTAAAACCGTATACAACAAATGAAGATCTGAAAAAATACTTTATACTTCAACACAGATAGAATGGTCTGAAAAATGCTCTTGACAGCGAAGAACCAGTTTTTTTACCTTTTGTATTGAGTTTGTTTTTCTATATAGTAACTACTACTTCATGGCTATTTTTTACATGCTTTATATATAAAACTTTTGAAATATATATATATAGAATGAAAGAATGGCCCAAATATAACCTATAACGTTTTAACAGGCAAAAATATGACCTTTTTAAAATTCACAAAAAAGTGACCACATATATACGCTTCTTCCGCGTCCAAATCTATTCTTCCGCATCCAGATCTACACTCCTGGGAACGATCGATCGCAGAGGTATACTCCATCACTCCTCCATCATCGACTTTACAGCCGGAAACCGATGCCTCTGGCGGCCGCCATCCGCTTCCACTTCTATGCTCCGCGCTCATCGTCGTTGTCCTCCCCCTCTTGCGCCGATTTCTGTTTGTCTACAGTGGCGACGGCTTGGTGCAACGGATTTGCGGCTTGGTCCGCATAAAATCGTTGAGTTCTTGAGCCGTATTCCTTTAGACTGGAGTTTAGCTACAGTGGCAAAGGCTTGGTGAGACGGATTTACGGCAGAGATTGGGTTTTAAGCGTGGAAATGGTGGTTCAGTCGTGGTTGGCTGGCTTGAGTTGGGTTGGTCGGAGCATGAGTTGGGGAGGATTGAATCTGGGCCAGTTGGTCGGAATTGAAGCTTAAGAGGTGGTTCGCGGCAGGTCAGGGAGTCATGGCTAGAGGAAGCAGGGGCTGGGGATGGAATTTCTGGTGCTCGGGTGTTTTGATGGAAGGGGCAATGGAAGTAGGCGTGTGGGAGAGACGCAGTGGGAATGGGATGGTGGTGGTGGCCGGAATACACTGGCCGGAGCAATTGTGTGTCACTACAGAGTTGTAATTGCGGAGATATCACTGTGGTGGTGTAACTATGGCTTGTGGAGGTGACCAGAGGTGGCCAGTGGTTATCGTCACTGTGGCGGTGTAATTGGCGTGAAAAAATTTGACGATGACAACTCTTAGTTACAAAAAAATGAACATAGTGACATAAAATTTTTGCTACAGTGACACGGGCGGGGGCAACAGTGACACGGGCGGTGGCTACAGTGACACAGGCGGTGGCTGCAGTGACACGGGCGGTGGCTACAGTGACACGGGCGGTGGCTACAGTGACACGAGCAGTGGTTGTAGTGACACGGGCGGTGGCTACAGTGACACGGGCGGTGGTTGTAGTGACATGGGTGGTAGCTGTAGTTACAAAAAAACGAACACGCAGTGACATAAATTTTTTGCAGTTATATCTTGTTTTCTAATTGCACATATATGACCTTCTTGATCACTTTTTTGCCCCTTTTTAAAAGTGATCACTTTTTGGGTAATTGGTTCAAAATTAGTAATATCCCAGTAAAAACCCCATATATATATATATATATATATATATATATATATATATATATAAGTATATATATATATATACACACACACACATATACATACATACATACATACATAGTACGTATATATTTACAGAATTACACATTGGCCGTAAATGAAATTTAAAAAAAAGGTGAGGTGGAGTGAGTTGAATGCAAAATAGAGAAGTATGTGAGGAGAGTAAAGGCATTAGTTTGTTTGGTATAATAATAAATAAACACAAGAATTGAAGAGTGGGGAAAGCAGTCCATTTTGCAGGGAACGAGCGCTATGCTCTCAGCCTGACTGTTGGTTTTTCATTCAGACATTTTAACAAATAGGTAACATGCATTAGACAACTAAATACATAAACTTAAAAATCTTCTAGCTTCTTCATAAATGAAAACGCAATTAAACAAATACCAGAGAAATATATACATGAATCTATTATGAAAAGTAAAACTAAATACATATTTAGTGTGTAAGAAAATTACCCGTTGGAAATACAGTCTCTCAGGAAGGAGATGAAACGTTGAAAGAAGGAGCACCGGAGGTGCGAAGACAGAGGAGGTGTGAAAATGGCGGACGTCTGGAAACGGCGGAGTGTCTTCGTCTGTAGGTCTCTCGCTGCTGAGCTTCGTCGATTGGAGTGGCCGCTGAGCTTCGTCGATTGGAGTGGCCGCTGAGCTTCGTCGATTGGAGTGGCCGCTGAGCTTCGTCGATTGGAGTGGCCGCTGAGCTTCGTAGATTGGAGTGTAAGGAGTGGTTTCAAAACCCTTCAAATTTCTCTAAGTATAAGGCCTGACCGCAGGGCTTAAAAATTTTAAACACATTCGATAAGGGTTACAAGTGGAACATGCATTGAAAGTAAGTTTTTTTAATTAAAAAAATGACCCCGTGCCAGATCAAACTTTTTGAAATTTATGAATATGACCCCATATATACTTTCTGTAACGGGTCAGATTACTAACCGCTATTGATACATTTTTTGTTTTATATATTCACCCTGTCCTATGAGATGAAACTTTTATTAATTGTGATTTAGACCCCGCGTGATCATACTATTACGGTTCTGAACTAACCCATATTAAATGTTAGTTATAGAATGCTTATTTTGCACTAGTGTTCCCTACTCATCAACTGTGAGCTCAATATAATCTTCATGTTCTTGTTCATCCAATCCCTGCACTTCTACTGTGAATAGCTGTGTCTTTTTGAACTGACATTTGTGATTCCTGTCATAAGGTTGATCACAGTAATAACATTGCCCCTTTGCTAACTTTTCAGCTCTAACTGCAGCCGGAATATAAGTTCTAGAACCATAATCACTGCTACCTTGGTCCTTGGATGTGGTATTCTTAAAGGGCAGACCCTTTAAGGTAGAAATTGGAGCTGGAGGAATCTTTTGGAAGGAAGTTGAGAGTTTAGTTGTGGCTGCAATTGTTTCTTCCTGAGATCTGGCCAACTGAATTGCTTCAGCCATGGATTCAGGTTTCAGGGCTCTTACAAATGATTTTAGGGATGATTTTAAGCCTCCAATGAAACAGTCCAAGAAGTATTTCTCTGACAGAGGATGACTTCTTCTAACCAGACTTTTAAGCTCCTCAAATTCATCTATATAGGCATCAATAGAAGTTTTCTGTTGACATCTATTAAATCTTTCAACAATATCTCTATCAGATTCATCCCTAAATCTGGCTATTAAGTCTTCTTCAAATTCAGCCCAATACACATCATTTCTATCAGCAAGATAATTTGTCACCCATACTTCAGCCTTCCCAGACATATTTAACGCAGCTATGTCTACTTGATGTTCATCAGGTGTACGGCATAAGGAAAAATATCTCTTACATTTCTTAAGCCACATACTACTGTTATTACCATCGAAATGAGGAAATTCTAATTTAGGGACATACCCTAACGGTTTAGTGTAATTTCCTCCCTTTTCAGCCTGATGAAGAATGTGCGGACTGTTGGACGAAGGTTCTTTCTCCACTTTCTTCTGCAAATCAACAACAACTCCAAATAGATGTTGAAATTGCTGCTGCATTTCTTGTTGGAACTGCAATTGAGATTGGACTAGAGCTTGCAATTGCTCTTCCATGGCGTCAATAGCTGATCGAACTCGTGAGCGAGGCGCCAGTTCAACGAGCTTCCGTATCAAGGCTAGGATCTGATCGCTCTGATACCAATGTAACAGGTAAGAATTCTACCGAAAGAAATGTAAACATTTAACAAGAGCTGAACTCCATTGTTAAACGTAAAGAAGAAAGGAGATATACGACTGTATAGAATGGCAGAAAACTGAGTTTATTCATCATAGCTCTCGCATTAATATACAGTGTAGTCTAGCTAGTCAGTTCACATCAACGGTTTACAACCAATCTGTTATTTTCTAAATAACTATTTCTAACTGTAGCTAAACTCCCGTTACAGTATTGCAGCAGAAATTCAGAAAAATCAAGAACAGAAAAACCAATTTTCTTGTCAACAGACCTAGGTCTTCCTCGTCAACAGCGCAGCTAGAGGTCGCGCTCCTGTTACAACAGTAGCTCCCAAAGTTGCGATGAACAGTGCCAAGAACTCAATTGCAGGTCGCGAATGAATAAAAACTCCAATTTCATCTTAGATTCAGTGAAACCCAACGGATTCACGAACTAAAAACCAGAAATCATGAACAGTAAATTCGCTTTTTGGAAGTTCAGGCGTGAAAACTCATTAAATCTCAAATCCAAGAACATAATTAAGTCAGCACGACATTACGACAAAGATCAGCAAAAGAGTCCGACCAATAATCAACAAACCAATAGCTTTAATCTTATAATCCATGGAGCCGTACACGCTAAGTCGCGAAAGAACTGGGTCGCAGATAATCCCAGGAGAGAACAGCTCTCAAATTTTAGCCAGTTGCTTTTTTAAGTTCCAAATTTCTGAACGGAAAAAGAAGATGATTTTTTTTTAATGGAGAAGATGAATTGAAAATGGACGGTCGCTCAACATTAAGGTTTAATACTCCGTAGCAACAATTATTCAAGAATATCCGACGTTTAAGGGATGGAAATGAAGTCAAATAAGCACTGCCTACATTAGTCCAGTGCGCAAAGGTACATGAACATATATGTATACACACATTTTGTATATGTTTGTGTGTATACACGCGCTCGCGTGCGCGCACACACACATATATATATATATAATCTGAATAAAATAAGAATATGATCTAAAAACAGAATTAAAAATGAATCTGGACATTGAATTTAAGAATTGAACATTATCTCAAAATGAAATATGCACTACATGAATGAAAAATGCAGTGGAAGCTTTATAAATAAAGTGAAATTTTTGTAGGGTTGCAAAGTTTACATTATCTTAACTAGAAATATGTAATTCTATAAATGATGATGTTGGATAATTCATCCGCTAATTCATTTTTCTTGTCCAGCTTTGTCTCCCATCAACATATGTATAATCACTTGGTCACTTTCTTACACATTTGTTCCCCCAAATAGCTACAAGAAAAAGAATTGAAAGCAATATATAAGTTCTTTTATTGAATATTACATGAAATTTCAACGATGTGAAAATGTGATGATTTTTTTTTTGATAAAGAAAATGTGATGATTTAGATAAAATAATAGGTTGTTTATTTAATTTAATTTGAAAGAATTTTGGTATATAATTTTGCACAGAAAACATGAAATAAATTACAAATTTATGACTAATAAAAGCCGTTTACAAAAATGTGACCACATATGTCATTGTCACTGAGCAACATGTTGTGATATGCACAAATTTTTCTGGTGATTATTTCTGACAAATTTTCAAAAACAAATTGAAAATGTGGAAAACGTTTCCATAAAATATTTTCTGATGACTTTTCCAGCAACAGTTTCTGGCTGTGGTTTCCGGTGATGACAGCAGCTAGGTAGGGGTGTGGACTTAAAATATTTTCTTCACAAAATAGACTTTATTTAGTTCTATTAAAATAATAAAATATTTCCTAAATAAGAGAGAATGAGTTTTATATTACAAAGAAAACAATGGTACTCTATTGAGAAAATTGACAATGCTTTACTCATCATCATTAGGGAATTCATTGAAATTTGAATTAATTGAACAAAAGGTACTCATATTTTATCTTTTCTACCAAATAGAAATTATACGGAGTAATCAGCAAGTACACGACCTGATTAAAACAACTCATAAGTCATACCTATTGTACCAGCAGCAATCATGGCAGACCACGGCACACTTGCGGCGGTCCTTCAGAGCAAAACCCTCAGAAGAGTAAGACAATTTGCACGTCGCCTGAAGCATCCCAGAATCCATTCCCTCATCCAACCAAATCTCAGTCTGAATGTCTAAGACCGCGGGGACGGGCTTCGCGGTTGGGCCTCCCGCCGCGGGTTTGAGGGCCGCGGAGGTGCTGGCGTCAAGAACCACGCCCTCTGCATGCAGATCGAGGGCGTGGTTATAGGCGGACTGAGGCGGCGCGAACAGGTCAAAAATGGCGGTGCTGGCGAGCTGCCCCTGCGCGGCAGGGGCAGCTCCTCCTAAATTCAGGGACGCGTTTGTGCTCCTCCAGCTGAGAACAATGCCTTTATCTGATCTCGGGTTGTATTGCTCAACGGTGAAGTTGAAGCTGCCGGTGAAATGATTGTCGCCGGTTAAGGTATAGTTTTCCATAACCGCCGCTGCCACGACGGAGATATGCGGCAATTTCGGGACGGCGTGGGTGTGTCTCCATACTTGTACATATACAATGAGGAACACCCATAAGCATATGTACGCGGCGTATCCAAGTACTGCCTTACAGCAAAATTTAGCTCTATCATCCATTTTTCTCTCCTCGTACTCCTTATTTAATAACGTATAATAACCATCCGTAATTAATAAGATGCCAAGGATCGATTGAGACTTTAATAATGTATTTATAGATGACTTCGTCCAATTTCCGATCCGAAAAAAAAACTTTTATGACTGTCTATATCTTTGAGTTTCATATGTTTATAACAAGATTTATTGACCTAAATGGGACTAAATTATTTCTGAAATTCCCAAATAGGAGTATGCATAATTTTTTGCCCTAAATAGGATTAGATTACAAATTTGCCCCTGTTTTTTCCTCTAAACGCACGCATCGCATTCATCTCTCCCCCTCCTGCGCATTCTTCTTTCCCCCTCCTGCGCATCTCTTCTCCCCTACGCATCCTCTCTGCCTAAGCTTCTTCTTCTTATCTTCTCCCTTCCCCTCACATCTTCTTCTTCGCCTCCCCTTCACCTTCGAAGCCCGCCGCAGTTGACGCAAAGTCCGACGCCGCTGTCCAGTCATCGCCGCCATTGACACGAAGTCCGCCGCTGCAGGAGATCTTCTTCTCTTCTTCGAAGATCAGGTTCTCTACCTCTTCTTTGATTGCTCTTCCCGTCCTTCCCTCCCTCGTCTCTAGTTCTCTCTTCCCCTCTTCTACTTCATTGCATATGCTCCATTTCTTCTTTGATTAGTAAAAATGCCAAGTTCAACTCTGAAAATGCCATCAAAGTGGCATTCTTATTCAACAAAAAATTGATATTTTTATTTGAAAATGCCATTAAAATGACATTCTAGATTCATGTTGGCATTTAGATATTTTTTTTTACATTTGTGTCGGCAACAACCAGATCCACAATGATACAGGCCAGATTTGAGTGTTTGATGCCAGGATTGCCAGCTTACTTGGGATGGTGGCTAGATCTACAAAGGCAGTGGTTGGCGGCCGGTGGAACGACGACGCCCGTTACATCTGCAGCGGCAACAACCATATGTACAGCGGCGGCAGTCAGATCTGAAACGGCGGCCGTTTTTGAGGTGGCGGCGACCGACGGCGATTGGTGGCGGCAACCGGCGGCGACCGGTGGCGGGTACCGGCGACCGGCAGTGGTCCGGCGTTCTGGTAGGCACCAGTACGATTTCCAAGCTTCAAGGGTGTTGTTGTCTAGTTACAAATAATAACTCTTATTTAGGGGATTTTTAAATTTGAGTCCTATTTTAACAATTAAAGATGCATTTACTCCCATTTAGGTAAATACCTCTTATAACAATCATTCTTCGTATATACTTCATCCTCTTTTTAGTTGCAACACTCTTTTTTTTCACGTTTCCCAACGCACAATTTTGACTTTTATTATATTTAATTTTCTATTAGTAAAAACATTTTAAAAATCAAATTATGAAACTTCGTAATGAGATGAATTCAACAATATTTTTCAAAAAATTTAATTCACGTACATTAATAAATAATTTATAGTTAAAGTAGAGTACATGAATAATGTATAAATTCGAATGTTGCAACTAATAGGATAAGGAGAATAGTACTACCAAGTACGGAGTACTAAAAAAGGTGTATGCATTTGCCACCAGCAGCGGACCCAGCATGGAGCTAATAGGGGATGTCCCTTTCAATTTTTTCCCTGAAATTGAAAAAATATTCTTACCCTGAAATTTTAATATATATATATATATATATATATATATATATATATATATATGTCCGGAATTCCGGACAGGAACCGCCGTCCAGACGGCAGCGTTTGGCCGCCTTCCCGGTGGCATTTTTGATGAAATTTTTATGACATGTTCATCATCAAGTCTAATTTATCCACACAACAATTCAGCCAGAAACTCAATCGGGAAGGTTGTCAAATGATTTTTGCAAGTTAACTGGTCCGGAATATGTATTTTCCGGACCAGTTAACTTGCAAAAATCATTTGACTACCTTCTCGAATGAGTTTTTGGCTAAAAATTTTTGTGGATAAACTAGACTTGATGGAGAACATGTCATAAAAATTTCATCGAAAAATTGCACCCGGAAGGCGGCCAAATGCCGCCGGCCGGCCGGTGGTTCCGGTCAGGAATTCCTGATCAGAAGAGTACTCTCTATATATATAGTATGTATGTATTTGTATATACTTTATTACACTGCCGCCCCTACCTCCAAGCGGGAATTCACACGTCTGCCTCTATTTTTCACTCTCCTATATACACAGGTAATTGATGCCTTTTTCTAAATGGACTGTCTGTGTACAGGCAACTATGAGGTGCACACATTTTACACTCACACGTGTCAACATATAATTGCTATTTTTTCTAAACGAGATGCTTGTATACACATGAGTGTGGTAAATGTGTACACATTTCTTATATTTAACATTGAATATATAATATTATAAAGGCGAAATTCATGCTAATAATCCGTACTTTTAGTGGTTCTACAATAATAATCCCTACCAAAGATGTCTACACAAATAATCCAAACTCGTAAACCCGTCTACATAAATAGAATAAATCTTCCATGAGCAACAGGCTTGGACTTTTAATCTTCTTAAAAAATGATTATATTTTCATTTTAATTCATGTTTCAAAGAATTAAATGAAAGAACTACTAGTACAGTGCATGAGTTAATATAATCCATCGAGTCAAAATTTTGACTCAATCCTTATTAGTACGTAGTATATTTTAAAAATCAATATTAAACGCTTCTAACAAACATTTATACCGCAAAACTGCAGAAGTGTAATGCATTGAAATATAAATTTAATCCGGTCTTTGATTTAGGTGAATGAGCTTTTATCCATGGAAGATTTAATCTATCTATGTAGACGTGTTTATGAGTTCGGATTATTTGTATAGACATTTTCGGTAGGGATTATTATTGTAGAATCACTAAAAGTAGGGATTATTGGCATGGATTTCGCCTTATATAAAAGACTAGAGAGTCCCCATTAAAAACGTCTTTCGTGACAGTACATGTATTATACTTTGTATCTTTCATGTACGTTTCAGTTAAATATTTTTAGTATATACTGAATCATTATTTCAAAACAGTATATGAAGCCGTTTGGCAACATTGTTTTTCGGCTTATCAGACTTATCAGCCAACTTTTTCACCAAACACGTAATTTTTGATTTCGCGCGCTGAATTGTGTAATAAGTAGAAAAAGTAAGGTTGGAGTTACTTTTCTGGCTGTATTGACTGAAGTTACTGTAGATGATCATTTTAACTATTTTTACATATAATTTTTTCTTTATTTTATTAGTAAAATATAGGGAAAACTATCAAATCAGCCCCCCTATTCTTCAAAAAAATCAATTATGCCCCCCAACTTAACTATAAATCAATTAAGCCCTCATACTCCTATAAAATTTGCAAATCAGCTTTCTAGCCGGTTTCCTCCCGGTTTCAGGTAAAGTTCACTCTTTTCCCTTTTTGTTTCAATCGTTCCAGACTTCCCCTTTGATATTTCCCCTTTTCTTCTCCATTTGAGTAAAATTTCTTCACAGTAGTAAATAAAATGAGAATCAGCCACCATTTGATAGGTCATAGGTGTGATAGACGTCATCGTTTCAGATCTGCTTGGGCTTTCGTTTGTTTCAGATCTGCTTGGGCCTTCGTTTCCGGCGGCGATTTTCTGGTCGGTGAACCAAAGCGGGTCGGGTCCTTCAGTCTCGTATGAGGTAGCTTGTGGGGGTGATAATTTCATTAATGGAGGTAAGGTACAAAAAACGACCATGGAGGAGGAACCAAAGTGGCATGGGTCGGGTTCAAAATCCAGATTGGGGGTATGAGGCACCTTGGTGAGATGGTGACTCCATTAATGGAGGTATGAGGGTCCGGGTACAAATGACGGCCATGGAACACACCATAATCAACGGCGGAGATGATATGTTTTGAATAATGCCTTCCGTCATGCCCCCCCCCCCATCGAAGGCCTCCTCTTTTCTTGTTCTTCCTTGTTTGCCACCTTTGCTGGCCATGGAGGACGAAGGGGGACTGTTGGAGTGTTGCTGATATTTCAGACGGAGTAACATATACGTATGACATACGGAGTAATATATTTTTTTTGTATAAAAAAGGAGGATAAATGAGTGCCATGTCAGCAATACCGGAAATCACCCTTCCTTTACCGGTGAAAAAGCTGAATTGCATTTTTTGTTGGAGTACTAAGGGTTTAATTGGTTGATAGTTGGGTTGGGGGTTTAATTGATTTTTTAAAAAAATAGGGGGGCTTATTTGATAGTTTTCCCTAAAATATACTACTTTAGAATTTAAAAAATGCAGTATCAGCAGAATTTGTAGTATTTTAAAAATAATTTTTTCTTAAATCAGCAGAATCAGCCAATGCAGCCACTTCAGCTAGAACTTCATAAATTTCAACAGAATCAACTAAAACAGCCGATTTTAGTGCTACCAAACGGGCTCTATATGTACTATTTATTTAATTAACTTGGGTAGTAAAAAATCTTTTGGATATTTTTCTACGCACTATATAAAAATGATCAATTTTAATACCATGATTACACTTTAGACTTTCTTGGTAAATGGCTTGTCACTTTATCAATAATTTTTAAATAGAATAGACCAGTTTGGTAATATGAACAGTTTTTGTGGCATGATAAAGTAGATGTTTGATAAAATAATATTTTAGAATAACTAAAATAGATGTTTGGCAAGTTGACTTGGGCAAGCAGGCATTGCGACACATCATAACTTACATATTAAATATCCCTTTTAATTGTTCTTTTGTCCTCCTTTTATTTTCTTTTACTAAACTTTTAGGGTATTGAAAAGTTTATTACTACTAGCCACTAGGTATATTACTTTGGAAGATGAAAAAAAAAAATTAGTAAATAATTTTAATTCATGTAACTAAATAACTTTTAGCAAAGCATTTAATTGATTTATATTTACATATTTTATATATTTAAATTACTACCCCTCCATCCCAAAAAGTCTTCCTAGTTTGACTAAGCACGTTTATTAAAAAAGTGAGAATATTGTAAAAATATATGATTGTGTAAGAAAAAAATAAATGAATATTAGTTATACAAATCATTAAAGGGAAATGAGAAAAAATTGGGACATCCCAAAAAGGTAAGTGAGAAATTTCTTTTAGATAGAAGTAGCAATAGATTCCTTCGAAAGAAGCAGAAATAAATAAATAAATTATTAAATAATAATAATAATTTATATAACTAAATACCGGAGAAGCTTTTTAGCAAAGCATTTATTTGTAGTTAAGTACTCCGTATTTCGTACAATTACAAAGTACTTGAATTTTCACCCATGCATTGCATAAATTGATTTTCTAATGCATATATATAATATACTTATGACTAACTGTTTAGGTTCATATAATTGCATGTGACTTGTGACATGTATCTATAAATAATACATTTCAAAGATACATTTAGAGAAAGTTTTGTCACATGACATCTTCTCAATAATCTTCTCAACATTTGATGATTCTATAAATAAATTTGCATCTCACGTGTATTATTATTATTATTATTACTCCTTAGTAGATTATAACTCCTACAAAATTGGAATTCACATGTAATGCTACGATAGTAGTAGTGTATTTCATATAGGAATATAATGGTACTAATGCTACTTACAATTCCAATTATTTAGGACTCTACCAAAATAAAATCTCTTATTTTTTTAAAAGTGTTTTAACTTTTTCATTTGTATTCAGATTTTTACGAAAATTATATCAAATTTCATAACTTTTTATTATCTTTCAAATGACACAAATATTGAATATATAAAAATAAAAAACAATTTAACACTCAAAAACATCTATTTGTTTAAATTTATATAACTTTTTTATTTGTACTTTGATGGTTACAAAAAATATATCTAAAATCATAACTTTTTATTATCTTTTATATGATATCAATATTGAATATATAAAGATAAAAAAAATATCTAAACACTTTAAAAAGCATCTGTTTTTAATGCTACTACAACCATTATTAAATCAAACCAGGTCAGAATTCGACAATTGCAAAGTAAACATTGAACAAACGTGTACTAGATTAGTTCATATGAAATCAGTCTAGATCTAACTTTAACAGACCAGACAGACCAGACAGACTGGACCTTAAAAATTATGAAACATGTACTAGATCAGTTCATATGATTTTGATTCAATATGAAAAATTCATATGGAATCAAAATCATATGATTTGGTGAGACCTTAAATAGTTAAAACACTAACCGTAATATATCACAAATCTCCATTTAATCCTTTTCATTGTCTCTTTTTATCCATTAAATTTCTTGTATACCTTTCTTGATAACTGGTACGTTAAATGTTTAAATATGTTAAAACAAAAATTAGACTATTTTACCAAGTAGATATAGTTCATCCGAAACTATATTAAATCAATTAAGAATCAAAAGTTAAATTGAAATGATTATACTAAATTTAAATAGCGTTTCTTTAGTTGGGATTTCTATCAGTATAATTGCTTTACATATAATAACCAATACTCTTTATTCTTTCAATAATTATTTCATTGAAAACTTTTTAGAATATTTTATGATGTTTTGAATTGGATTAGTTTCAGTTTCATACCAAGTCAGGCCATAACATACTTGATCAAGTCATACTAGACTTTGACGATTGTAAAATACTTATAGAACAAATATATACTAGAGTCGATTCGTTCATATCAAATTAGAACATACTACTCTTAAACAGATCAGATGAGAACAGAAAATTTCAGACAAATTTAAAACACTCTTACATGAGATTTGCATGTGAAAACACAATTTCACTCTAACATAGATTAACACAATTTTACTCGAACACAATTTTACTAAGCTCTTCTACAAAATTACACTTAAACACAAATTATGAAATTAAGACAATTTTACGAGACCCATACACAATTAATAATCGATTGTAATTATCAATCTTCTTATTTATTACTAATTTATTTATCTTTTTATCCCCTACTAATTAAATAATTGCTTTTAATTACGAGCTCACATGAAATTCATAATTACTCTATAGTATTTAACGTCAACCAAGTTAATAATTGTTTAAACGTTTTTGCAGTCTATATTTTCTAATGAAAAGAGCATTTGCAACTAATTATCTAAACATTTTCCAGAGTATATTTCCTAATGGAAAGAGTGTATTTATAACTCTCAATTGCATCCAAATGAAATTCATCTTTTCAACTATCTCTACCTAAACAAAAAAATTGAAAATGATGAATCATACTACACACTTTTGTAATTTATTTATATAAAAATGGGTGGAGTCAACTTTTTTGAAGATATTAATCGTTATTTTTCTTAACCGATAATTCAAGTATGCATTACGAAATAGTTTTGATGACTATATAATATAATAGGGCCATCAAATATAACTGTGGTGTTAAAAATGTATTTTTTTAATACTTTGATGATTAAATTATAATTAAAATTAAAAGTGCTAATTATTTTCTTAAATAAAAATGATAACCTTTACTAGAATAACAAAAAAAATGAAATTGAGAACCTTTAGTTTAATAATACACTTAAGTCTACTAATACTACTATCGCATTCACTAGTCGATTTAGGCTGGTGCAATGACACTTCATTGCCTCAAAATGGAGATGTTGGAGATTGGGTAAAGGTTGGTGTAATATACTATGTTAAGAAAGTGTTTTTGGTTGTCCAATTTTTTTGTTAATATCATTTTAATCAATTTTCTTATGGTTCCTATTATTTGTTTTGCCACTTCACAAATCTCAATTACGCTTTTTTTACATGATTATTTTTCATGTCAGTGAAATTGGAAAAATTAGAATGTACGGAGGGAGTGATTTTGAAAGACACTTCGAATCTATTAAAGTCATAAGCTTAGGTTGTTGTTTTAGCGCAAATAATATTCACATACTGTTTGGATACATCTAACCATCTCGACAATAGGAGTTCTGGAGGACATTGACTTAGTGTGAAATCCCGATTTTGCCGTTGTGAGAATTGTAACCGTACATTGCATAAGTAGTAAAGGTGCTTCAAATTCCAATGTAATATAGATAACATTTATGAGGAGCAAATGGTAATAGTAATACTAGATTTTTAGTGAGTACTTCCTCAATCTCAAACTAGAATTTATTTGTTGGTTGATTTTAACAATTAAATAATATCATTTGTTACATTCTTTATGTTTTTTTAAAGACACTCATATCAACATAATCATTTTTTACTTCATCATTTCTTTGATTGAAATAGAAAACTTGATATTGATAAAGTTGATTGTCTCATATCGCCGTTGATGTCCAAAATGTTTACGTGGTATTTTTACAAAAGTAATGGGTCACGTGACTATTGAATTAGATATCGACATCTTTTTTTTAGTAACTTGTGCTCTTTAGATGTCATGGAGCAGAAGCGGTACCGTTAAATGCTTTTATTACATCCTACGTACTATAATAAAACTAAAAAATAAAACATCTTTTACCCAGGTAAACAATAAGACTGCATGTGTTAAAATTATCAAAATGCGCATTTGTCTTAGGATGTTTTTTTAGCCGAAATTTACTGGTCTGGTCTGAACTGGTCTGGTTTGGTCAAGTCTGGTAAATGTTTGGTCTCTATGTAATTTATAACTATGGAAGTCCGATCTGGTCTGGGTCTAAAAACAATCCAAAAGAAAACATCCTCAATGCTATCTCAAATTTGTGTTCACCTTTCTAATTAAGGATATTTTGATTTGAAATGATTTTCTTTATCTGATCTATGAAAGTTTTACTTTAGTGTATATTAAATATTAACATAAATCTTTGATATATTTTTTGCTGAGAGTTCTGATCTCGGAAAGCTTTATTAATTACATATATAACAATCATATCGTGATGCTAAAAGTGGTGTGTAAGAGTTAGCTAAATAAGTTAGGCGGCGAATAAATGGTAATTCTTTTACTCATGGATGTAATTTAATATAGTGCGTTTGGTCATAAAATTGAGATCATTTTTCATTTCTTAATATGAGGCATCTTTTTTTTTATTGCATGATTTTACATGTTTATGTTTTGGTTGTTACCTGCCATTTGATGTAGATTCTTTTTATAGACTTAATTCAGTTGGCCTTCTAGGTAAATATTGCTTACTGATCGAAAATCTAAACCATGCAACATTTTTTTGTTCAATAACACTTATTTTAAATCAATCTAACGAAAAATAAATCGATCGCTATTAATCGCGTTATGCAACCGGCCTGTTGTCGTCGCCACCACCTTCATTAAAATCAGAATGTCACATAGGCTTGC